ACAGGACCTGAAAGAAGAAATGTACAAAGAAATCAATGCCCTGAAAAAGAATCTAGCAGAGCTTGTGGAGCTGACGAATTCATTCAATGAAAGAAAAAACAGAGAGCTTAACCAACAAGCTAGAACAGGCAGGAGAGAATTTCGGCCCTTGAAGATGGGCTGTTTGAAATAAAACAGGCAGACAAAAGAAAAAAGAATTTAAAACATTGAAGAAAATCTAAGACAGATAACAGACAACCTTAAGCGCTCAAATATCCAAATCATGGGTATTCCAGAAGGGGAGTTAAAAGGAAATGGCATTGAAAATATATTCGACAAAAAAATGGCAGAAAACTTCCCAGGTATAACCAAAGATACAGATCTTCAGACTCAGAAGGCTCAAAGATCCCCAAACATATTCAACCCAAAAAAGTCCTCTCCAAGAAATGTTATAGTCAGACTGGCAAAACTCAAAGACAAAGAAAAAAAATCTTAAAAGTTGCAAGAGAGAAGCATCAAGTCACCTATAAGGGAGCCCTAATCAGACTAACATCAGGCTTTTCATCAGAAACACTAAAAGCCAGAAAAGAATGGGATGATATATTCAAAATACTAAAGGACAAAAATTGCCAGCNTCTCCCATTGTTCACAATTGCTATTTTGAACTTTCACTGAAAAAATTTAGGCTACCAGGAAGAGGTTCCCTCACTCCCTTGCCTTATAATAAGGGAGTAAATAAGTGTAAACATTTTTATATCTATATTTATTCTCACTCCTTTCCTCGGTCTAAGAAGTCAGCATCCTCTGGCCAAGGCTAATCCTTCCAGTCTGCTCTTGATGCAGTCCTAGATCTGGATCCACTCACATTTCTTACTCCCATACTTCAAAGCTCTCCCTGTCTAATGGATTCTTTTCACAGGCTATCAGCAGGCTATCAGTTTTAACATNTCTCCCATTGTTCACAATTGCTATTTTGAACTTTCACTGAAAAAATTTAGGCTACCAGGAACAGGTTCCCTCACTCCCTTGCCTTGTAATAAGGGAGTAAATAAGTGTAAACATTTTTATATCTATATTTATTCTCATTCCTTTCCTCGGTCTAAGAAGTCAGCATCCTCTGGCCAAAGCTAATCCTTCCAGTCTGCTCTTGATGCAGTCCTGGATCTGGATCCACTCACGTTTCTTACTCCCATACTTCGAAGCTCTCCCTGTCTAATGGATTCTTTTCACAGGCTATCAGCAGGCTATCAGTTTTAACAT